TATGTATCTATTCTGTCAAAAATAGGTGAAGAAGCAAAAGGACCACATGATTTCTAAGGATCATTCTAACTCTAAACTCATTTATTTTCAGTGAACAAAAGAGACTAGGTAAACAACTATTCCTTATATAAGGTAGAAGATAATTATCAAAACCAACAGCAAACAGTGCTTTTACTGGCAATTAGTGAAGCATTCTCTTCAAAACATAGAGCAAGTCAAGAATGCTTACTATTACTAATGTTATTCAACATCATTTTTATGGACCTACCTAGACCTCTAATAGTTAAGGCAATTAAAATGAGATGTAAATATTGAAGAGGAAAATCTACAACTGTCACTATTTTGAAAGAATTTATGATTATCTACTTAGACAATCCAAGGGAAAAAAGTTATTATGATTAACGAAGGAATTTGATAAGGTAGTTGGATACAAAGCACATATACTAAATAGCTTTCCAATGCATCAGAAATAACCAGTTGAAAGTGTAATAGGAATAAAAGGTCATGTTCCCAGTTCAGATTACACCAAAACTATAAAATGTTTAGGAATAAATTTACCAAAAATGTTTAAAATTTTGAAATGGAGAAAATGGCAAAACTTTACTGAAAGGCATACTTAGAGATTTGAGTAAATAGTCATCTGTGTTCTCAGGCTGGAAAAATCAGTATTTTGACTGTACCCCTCAATTAAACCAGAATTCAATGTCATCCCAAACAAAATACCTAATAAAATTTGACTGATTGATTTTAAAATTCACCAATGAGAGAAAATTGCATATGAATAATCATAAATATTTTTTAAAAGCTTGACAGTGAGATGGTCTTGTTTTCCCTAATGTCAAAACATATTCAAAAGATATAGTAATTAAAGCACTATGGCATTTGTGTAGAAAGAGACAAATAAGTCGGTAGAATAGACTGGAGAATTTTGAAACTGAAACTGACTTCTTGTTCTGCTTTTCATTCCATCTCATTCTCCACCCTGATGAGCCCAGTCCTCCTAGCTGATGATAATTAAATTGTTCTGGAAACAGGCCAGTTTACTGGGAGATCATGGGAAAGTTGTTCTTCACTTTTTACCAGTCCGTATTTCATTTTGTTAGACTCTGATTTATTATACCAAACTGAGTAGAGGCAATGAAGGAAGCAACAAGTTGGCAGTACCAGGAAGCCTTTTCAAGCACCTGGGCTCTGGTTATCCATTTTGTACATAAGTCATATTCTTCCCTTTTAGGGTGTATGTATACACACACACACACACACACACACAAATTTTTATCTGGGGCACAAACCATTCCTAAATTCCTCCCCAGAACTTCTTTTAAAGTGAAGCTAAAAGGACCTGTGGGCACTACATAATACTATTATAAAAAATGATAGGTACCATTATAAGAAATTACAAGGCAAGAAGGGATGGAATTCATACAGAGGAGTTTTAATAAAAATTTTTAACTTTACTTGGTAAGATTTTTCTCTTACCTTTACTCAAAGGGTTAAAGAATGCAAACTTTTCTGCAGTTCTGCTTGTTTTCTCTCACTTCAGTATAGAATGAATTAGAGGTAAAAATCAATTAGGCCATTACTGTAAAACAGTAGGGAAGTAGTGCTTGAACAAAGGGAAGGGCAGTGGGTGGATGTGAGAAATCAGAGGAGGAACTATGGGCATTGTTAATTGATAGTTAGGAGAGGTAAAGGAGGAGTTGTCAGCATTAGCACATAGGTGTATCAAATTTCCTAGCTGCTGTGGTCAAGCAGGTTTGGCATGCTGGGGCTAATAGATAGACTGTGCTTTAGGAAGGAACACAGGCACCTCAGGAGCAGTAATGGCAGCACCAGGTAGAGGCAGAAGTCCAAGATCAGTTTTATTAAAGGTCATAGCAAATATAGATGTTCTAGGCAAAAAATTGTGGTTCAGAATGTTAGACTGAGGCATGGTTTCAGATTCCACTTCGGAGCAGTGAGAGCTCCAGGCTGAACGGTCCTCCATGAAATTCACTGGAGATGAATCATGGTTGATTGGGGTCACGTAGACCCAGGGAAATGACCTTGCAAGAAAAGGCAGAAAAGTAAACTGTGGTCACAGAAAAGACTGGTTTTCCTGCACTGAGAGAAACACCTGGGATATATATGTACAATGGGTCTAAGATGGTAGGTAAAACAAGACTCTATCTGATCATCAATCTATTAAAAAAATATTTGTGATGATTGACATGCTGTTTTTCTCTTCTACATGAACCTTAAAATCAGTCAGTCACTTAGGACTGTTCAGGGAGATTATTGCCTATTATTATCATTGAGTTGTTCAGTGTCTAATGGTTCACCCATGAAAAAGTCAAAGCAATTTCCCAATACCTATGGATTACCTGAGCAATTGTTATTGATCTGCTGCTGAGTCAACTTGTCTCTGGTACCAGGTTGCTTTATCTTTCAAAAGCACCATTTTCTTTGTGTTATTGCTCCACTTAAGAATCTTCTAAAACCATTTGTTTTCTGTCAGATTAAACTCCAGTGCGTTAGTCTGGCGTTCAGAAATCATTAACAACTGGCCATATGTTACCTACACTTTTCTGTGAATGCAAATCCTCTGCTCCAGGATTTGCCATCTTTCCAATATGCTGTATAAACCTAGAATGTTCATATCTCTTGCTGACATTAAAATTTATTTTTTTCTTCTTCCTGAAGCCTTCTTATTAATGTCACCCTATAGTGCTTTTCTTCTCTTTGCTTTCATTTGGCTCATTCCCTTTCTCCATGTTTGCACCTTTTGTCTCTCCATCTAGTCTTTTGTCCTTCCATATATATTGTATATTCCTTAATGGCAGAGACTGTATGTTTCATTTCTCACACATACCATTAAAAAATAGGGAGTGAGACATTCTTTTAGTTTTTATTTGACCACTTGTATAATGGTTTGAAAAGTCTTAATCTTCAGAATGGTGGAAAAGATTAATCATTCACCTGGCTTTTTATTTGATAAAGTGTAACTTAGAAATAAAAAAGTATTTTTGCTGAAAGTTCTTATGGATTGTTTTGTTATGACTTCTTAAGATATTAGATATTTAAGTAATTTTAATAGTTTCTGCACAATCTGCATTATGACTTAATAGACAAATTGAAGTAGAGATAAAAAAGATAATCTTTTCATCCTAAATAATAATTTTTCTAATATAAAAAGTTTTTATGAAATATGTGAAAATATAATTTATATATTGTTGATAGTCACATAAATTGCTGTAAACTCCCTAAATACAATTTGATAGTATGTTTTGCCAAAAAAGTTTTGTTTTACCAGTCAGTTCGACTCCTAGGAGTTTATCCTAAGAAACTATCTGTGGATATTTCTAAATGTTTTCAAGACTGGTAATTGCACCATTGTTTTATAGTATTAAAAGACTAGAAGGCAACTGAATGTTCAACTATGTAGAATTGTTTAATTATGTTATGCCATAAATGTTTACCATAGAATATTACACGGTTACAAAAAATGGTCCTCTACTGGAAAGATGACATAGGAAAATGGCCCTAATTTATTAAAAACTAAAAAAAAAAAAAAAAGATTACTGAACAGTTTGTATGGTATAATCCCATTTTTTGCTAAAAGGAAAGCAAAACAATTATACCTATATGTTTTTAAATTCAGTCTTCCAATTGTATACAGTAACTACTAGAATATTTAGTGACATGGGAACATGGCCCTGATATGTTGATAAGTAAAAAAGATCATGTTATTAAACAGCATGTAATGTATAATTTCATTTTTTTTCACAAAGAATGAATATGGTTTGTAGTGAAGAATATACTAATTATCCTGATTTGATCATCACATATTTATATTCATATTAAACTCTGTACCACACAAATATGTATAATCAATTGTTTCAATTTTTAAAAACCTATAATTTTTTAAATCCTATCTCCTAAATTGTATTTAATATCTATGCATTACTTTTGTAATTTGGAAAAAATCCTTTTATAAAAAAATTAATTTTCCATAGTTCAGAGGGAAAATAAATAACAGTGGAAAAGTATTTATCTATAAAGAAAGATCTTGACTTGAAGGAAAACCGAGAACCCGCCCCATACACACACACACACACTCACACGCACACACACGCACACACACACCCCTTCTAATTCTATTAATCTTAACTCTAGACAAAATCAAAAATGACCATTGGTGCCAACTATACTGTAGTCATCTAGAGTTAGCAATTTCAGTTGTAGTCTAAGCATCACCACTAAATGGTTTCCTTATTGTTAGTCACGAGCAGCCTGTGACTAACAGGCTTCTAGTTTCAGGGTTTTACTTTCTTCTTTTAGAAAATTAAGATTAATAAACTTTAGTGAATAGACTTCTAATCAAATAAGTAAGCCTTTAGAGAGTGTATAGCAGGCATTCAGCAAGTGTTGGTGTTCCTTCTAAAGATACCACTGGCTCTGTAATTTAATGTTCTCTAAGATTAATACTTAAGAAATAAACCAAAAATAATCTACAAATTTTTTGAAGTACTAGTTTAAAATCTTCAAACCTTGCTGGCCTGTGGCTCACTTGGGAGAGTGTGGTGCTGATAAAATCTTCAAACCTTTAGTGATATTTATTGTAGGGTCTTTTGAACATTAATTCATATTGTTCATGTGAATTATTCATTTGTAAAATGATTCAAGTTCTCCAGAAGACAGAATATTTTTACTTTTTCATTTACTTTATTAATTAACTTTCAACGTAATGAAAAGCATTTACCTTTTTTTTTTTTTTGCATTGTTCACTTAAAATTTTAATAGGGTAGGTCTAATGTTGTGTTCTTTCCACAATTAAAAAAAAGAAAGAAATTTACGTACAAGGGGAAAAAAAAGCATGAAATTTTACATGGAGAGGGATCAAATTGACAAATCTAGTTATGAGCTACATACAATACATATTTTATATGTGTATATATGGCAAAGCATTTACCTTTTAAAAGGAGGTGTTATTTCACACAGTCCAAATTTATTTGCTTTAGGTTGCTATTGGCAGAACAGACATTGAAGACTTAGACCTCTGTGCTACATCTCGGGAGAGACGATTTCGTTTATTTGCTTCTATAGAATGTGAAGGGCAGTTATTTATGACTCCATATGATTTTATTTTGGCTGTTACAACAGATGAGCCCAAATGTGAGTATATTTTTTAATTATCTTAATAATTTTATAAGATATTTTTCTTATAAAGCTTGTAAAAGTATGGATAAGTATAAGTTTTTTAGAACAACCAACCAAGGAATACACTATTTCAAAGGACATTGTGCTATACAATGTTACCAGACTAATATTAAACTCTTGCTCATATCTCTTCCCTTTTCAGAAACTTTCAATTCCTCCCTCTTTCTCAGTGTATCAAACTGCAAACACCACCCTACTTTTGATATTTTTTATAAAAGATTCACATTCTATTTCATTCTTATATCGAACATGAATACACTAATTCAGAGGAATGGCTTTGAAGTTAGCCCTGGGCAAGAATTCTGCCTACATCTCTTCTGCATTTGTCATAGCTCCTGCAGTGTAAATTTAGGTTAGCTGTTTCTCACCTTTCCATGCATTAGAGCAATGGTTCTCAATCTTTTTGGCATTATGTACATTCTTGCAAATCTCTTGATATCTGATTTAATAGGAGACAGCTGTATTCTCGTATGTTTTTTCACATTCAATCTTTTACAATATATTGTTTTCCATTAAACGTATGAATAAAATCTACCTAACAGATGTAGGTACCTGTAGTAGGAAAAGGGAAAAGTATCTTAATAGCCTTTTAAGGTAATTGTAGATGTTCTTCTTTGATACTGTATCACAACTTGGTTAGGAGTAGTTCAAACTTCAAAAGCCCTCAACTGGATGGACTGCAGTAGGAACCAGATTTGAGGAGAAAAATCACAATTTCAGTTTTTTGGACATGATGAGATGTCTGGGATATGTAAAAGAGGAGGCAGTTGGATCTTTCTCTTAATCATTTATTTCAGTTCACTGAAAGATAACTCAGTAAAAATCAGTGTACCAAATAATCAGTTGTTTGATATCTGCTTCAAACTGTCTCACAAATACCTTAAGTTAGACTAGAAGAATTTAGCTATTTTTTTTCCATATGGCAAAACCGAACCTTAAAATAAATCCTCAATAATTTAGCAAATTGGCTACTTTGTAGACTAGCTTTTAATGAGTTAATTTTTGATGTTTTGGATTATTTGCACTGGAGATCAGAGGAGAGGCCTGAATAGACATATATATTTGGGATTCATCTGTACATGATTGGTAATTAATGTAACGTGCATGGATGAAATTGCCTAAGAAAGCAGTATACTATGAAAATATAGATAACCGAGGACCAGTCCTTGACTTTAAAGGATGTACTTGAAAGGATAAATGTACAAAGGCTTGAAAAGGATGAGCCTCAGAAGGGGACTTAGGAGTGTTCAGAGATATAGGAAGAAAATCAGAATAGTCTGGAGTCATGGAAGCCAAGGAAAATGGCCAGAATGGTCATTTGGGTGGAATGCAACTGATAAGTTAGATGAGGACAGAAAAAATGTCCACTAGATTTAGTAATATAAAGGTTACTGATGATTTTTTAAAATGTTTCAGTGGAGTGATTAGGGCAAAGACCAAATTGTAGTAGTGAGTAGCAGATGAAGAAGTGAAGACAGTGAGAATAAAGAAAGGACTTTTTCAAAATATTTGGCTGCAAAAGAAAAGGAAATGAAAGGCATTAAGTAACTGGGATGGAATTTGAAGTAGAGACTTGATTATGCAAGATTTTGACCAATAATAAATTTTTTTAAAAAAAGATTTTGACTGGAGACTGTGAGGATAACATCTAAAGGAGAAGGATCTGCATGAGCAAAACCACAAAATCAAGAGTGTATATGATATATTTGTAACCTATTGTAATTTATAATTACAATTATAAAAATTCTAATTCATTTATAAGATTATATTTTCGGTAAATCTATACTAAATAATAAATGTAATAATCCACATTGTACCAAATATGTTGAATAAAAATGTATGGAATATGTATGCATCTACTTATGTGTAACTGTCTTTCTATGTGATAAAGAGGATAAAAAGTCCCTACACTCAGGAAACTTACAATTTTATAGAAGGACATAGAATACAGAAACAGCCAACTCCAAGGTATAAAATGATTATCTGGCACATAGTAAGTCCTCAATAAATGTTTCTTGGAAGAAGGGATTTCTTAGACTACCAAATGGTATTCCACATCAACATCAAATTCTATAATTTTTGTCAAACTTATATTTGAAAAGTTATTTTTAAGTGATGCTTAATAATTTATAATTTTATATTTTGAAAACTTTTAGTTCATTATTTTCTTGAATTTTCCTTCATAATACACTTACTAGAAATCCACTGTTGGATTTTGCTTTTTGGAGGTAACTTTTTTTTAGCATATTGATTATTACAAATCATAATTGTTCTTTATGCACCTTACCCAAGCAATCACTCTTCAATCCCCCTCCCTCCCTCCCCCCATCTCTAGTATCCTTAGATTTGTTCTCTTGGAGATAACTTTTGTGGTGATTCTTTTAAGAAGTATTTCAAAACCATAACTTGCAGGGAAAAAACTGGTTTCCATTATAAAAAATTTGCATAGGATATTTTACAACCACAACCTCAGTTAACTTCTAATCAGGACTTTTAAAATGTAATTAAGAACAATCACAAAAGATCAAGATATTTGTAAAAATGGTTTTGAAAGTGTGGGGTTTTAGAAAGAAATATTTGCCTCAGAATAGGAAATGCTCCAAGGACTGAATATTAAATCAGACATATAAAAAAAGTAACATAGGGGCCGGCCCGGTGGCGCACTGCTACAGTGTGCCACTTGGGAAGTGCGGTGGCACTCCCGCCGAGGGTTCAGATCCCACATACAGACCGGCCGCTCAGTGGCTGAGCGAGGAGTGGGGGCAATGCCGAGGGTTGCGATCCCGTAGCAGGTCCCAGTCCGGTACAGGCACAGCACTGAGGGTTGCGGTCCGTTGCCGGTCACGAAAAAAGACAAAAAGACAAAAAATAAAATAAAATAAAATAAAAAATAAAAATAAAAAAAGTAACATAGTGAAATTAGACAGACTTATGTTTAAGCCTTGGTACTCTTTTACTAGCTTTGAGAACTTAGTTATTTAATCTTCTGTTTGCTCATTTATTAAAAAATAACTGCCTCATGAAGTTTTTTGAGGATTTAATGAATTGATAGTGCTTAGTATAGTACTTGACACACAGTAAGCATTTAATAAATGTTGGTGTCTGTCATCAGTATCATCATTATCACTGAATTTATAACCATGATTTTGAAAAAATCTGTGATATAATTTCATGACGACATTCAACAGGAAAAAAAATAGGGTATGCTGCATAAATATTTGCTTGACATAGTTCAATTAAATGTAAATTGAGATACATATCTGATTGTTGATCATAATTTTTTTCTGAAAACTAGAAAATTTTTTTAAAAGTTATTGTTTTACCTACTTTAGAGGTAAAATAGAGCCTACAAAGAGAATTTCCCTTTAAAACTAAAATTAGTAATTGATCATTTTCATATGACATCAAAAGAATTGTACTATTTTCATTTAAATTTTTAAAAATATATTGTTAAATTTTTCAGCCATACAAGTATATTAAAAATATAATGAACATCAACCTACAGTTTAAGAAATAAAATATTTCCAACAGAATTGAAGTCCCTCTTCACCCAAGTTATATTTATATATACAGTAACTTCATATGAAATAAGGAATTTAGAAAGTAAGAAAATCCTTTGAAGAGCAATCTTAATGGCTCTTTAGTCTTTACAAAAAAAGCTAATAATAGTGAACATGGTGACATTTCCGGCAGAATGAATATGTCTTTTGTGAATAATTTACTATGGAAATCTTATAAATCTACAAAACTCAAGAGTATGTCTACTTCCTCTTTTGATAAATAGCTTGTGAGCATTGCATAAGAGCGTGTGCATGTACTTTTGCACCATATATTTTTCTCTTTTCCTGCTACTATATTTCAAGCACAACTGAATAATAAGTATTATTTACATTGTTATGTTCATTGTTAAAAGAAAAATATCTTTGTGAAACCAATGTGTACAGTTTCATAGTTAAGGTTATATGCTAAATTCTAATTTATAGACCTGAGATTTTAATCACTTGATTCCATGTTTGTATAAACTATCTTGAGTAAAGGATGTTGTTGCTACATAGAGAAGAAATTTATCTCCATGAAAATCAGTTTGCCAGATTTTAGAAACATATTTTTTTCTTTTGCTCTTAAAATGAATTATTATATTGCCTTTTAAAAAGTTGCATAGCATTAAAAAATGCCTTTCTTGTAATTTTGAATTTGATATATTATTAATTATACAGAAGTAGCCCCATGACTGTGCAGAAAAAAATTATTGGTTGTCATTATTGTAATGTAGCTGAAATAATTAATATTTACCAGTTCCCTAATGCAGCTGAGTTACAGAACTTAATCACATATAAACCTGGAGATATTTCTTAGGCAGGTATTAAATATTTATAACGTTCAAATCTGAGTAAAGGAAACAACAATGTTGACTGTGCATTTGTCCCAACATAATAAGATTTATAGTATTTGTGGTCTTTGGGGGTGTGAGGACGATTCAGAAAAAGTAAGTGATCCAAGATATCTTGTCCAGTTGTAGCACTCTTGTGTAGGGAAGAAGAATGAAAAAACAGGACAAGTGTTTCCCTCTCACTTTTCCTGCTCTCCCTTTCATCTCTTTTTCTCTTTCTCCCTAACCTTCTCCTTCACCCTAGAGAGACCTATGAATTATGTTCAGGGACATCAATATAGGAAAGATCATGAGTAACACCTTAAAATTATAATTTGTCTATGTTAATATTTTATATTCTAGTATGAATATTTTATAAATATCATTATTTGTGCTTTAAAGCCCATAGGATGTTTAACATGGAGTAGGTTAGCTAACTTTATAAATCCAGAAAGCCCCAAGTTAAGATGATGTAGTTATGGAAAAGTGTTTTCTATTCCACAGATTTTACTTACTGTAAACAGTTTATGGTATATGAAACAAATAGATAACATAAATAAGATTATATCTTAGATCCAAATCATGAGGTTAAAAAAACTTCGCCTTTTGGACGTAAAAGTTTGGTTATAAGTTATAGTTGTAGATGGTTACTGAACGTGGATATAATATTATATGAAATATTTATTATCTAATTATTTTATGTTTGTTTATTTTAGTTGCTAAAACCTGGAAGTCACTTTCCAAACAGGTAAGTTAAAGCTCTTGGTGTACATATGCATGCATTTTTTTTTCAAATTAGATCACATCAAGGTGCCAATTTTTTTAACCCTCCAGATTATCAGAAAGTAAAAAGGTGGACAGTTCCAAGAGTAAGTGAAGATGGAGATCAATGGTAAATCTCATGTGCAAATGAAAATTTTTATACCTACTTTGGAAAACAACTTGGCATTATCTACTAAAATTGAAGATACTCATACCATACCTACCAATTCCATGTCTGGGTTTAAATTCTGCAACAGTGCGTGCACTTGTACCTAGTAAAGTTAAACTTGCATATATTCTATGATCCAGTAATTTCACATCAGTGGATACACCTAGAGAAACTCTTGCTTATAGGCAAGAGAGGTTCATAATAATATTCATAGATTGTTCATGATGGCCAAAAATACCTTAATATATCAATAGTATGCTTAATAAATAAATTTTGAGATATTCATATAGTAAATACTATACAATAGTGAAAACAAATGCATTATAGTCATGCCTTAACTAGATGAATCTCAGAAACATAATGGTAAACACAATAAGCAATTCACAAAAATATAAAGTATAATTCCATTTATATAAAGTTCAAACCTGGGAAAATGAAAACCATATTATTTAGGGGTACATTCATAGACATGAAAACTAAGGAATGATTAAATTCAGTACAGTATTCACCTGTAGGTGAGATAGAGGAGAATGTCATCATAAAGCTTCTGAAGTACTGGTAATTTTCTGTTTCTTAACTAGTTCTAACTTTAAATTATACATATATTTCTCTTGTACTTCCATATGTATGACAAACTTCACTAAAAACAAAAAAGAATATTAGGAATCTAAAGAAATTGCTTAACTAGTTAAAGGGAATCCTCCAAAAGCCTATAGCAAACATCATATTTACTTGTGAAACTTTAGAGACATTCTCTTTGAAATTAGGTGTAACACAAAGGGCTGTCTGGTTAGTGCAGCTGGTAAAGTATGGTGCTGATAACACCAGGGTCGGGGGTTTGGATCCCATACCAGCCAGCCGCCAAAAAAAAAAAAATCACAGATATAAGATATGATCATTGAATTTAAAGTTAGGTATAAAGCAAATATGCCTGCTATCACCACTGCTCTATAGCATTTTACTAGAGCTCTAAGCTAATGTAGTATATTGGTTTGCTAGAGCTGCCATGACTAAATACTACAGCCTGGGTGACTTAAACAACAGACATTTATTGCAACAGAGTGTTGGAAGCTAGAAGTCCAAGATCAAGGTATCAGTGAATTAATTTCTTCTTTTTTTTCTTTTTATTGAAATGTATTTGATTATACGTATTTGTGAGGTACAGCGTTGAATATCAGTATGTATGTATAATATGTTAAATTTTCGGAAGGTTCATTTCTTCTGAAGTCTCTCTCCTGGGCTTTGAGATGTCTGTCTTCTACCTCTGTCTATGTGGTCTTTTCTCTGTGCATGTCTATGTCCTAATCTTTTCCTAAAGGGACACATGCCATATTGGACTACAGCCTATCCTAATGACCTCATGTAATAACCTTAACTACTTTTTTAAAGGCCCTCTCTCCAAAATAGATTCTGAGGTACTGGGGGTTAGATCATCAACAAGTGGATTTTTTTTTTCTTTTTGGTGGGGAAGTTGATACACAATATAGGCCATAGCTTGTAGTATGACAAGAAAAAAAAAAAGAGAGAGAGAGAGATTCTAAGGATTAGAAGAGTGGCAAACAATATGATTGAGAGAAAAAAGTAAATGTAAAACTACATTTCAGATTTGTTCAAGTTTAATAAAAGTTTAGCAAGGTTGCTACTGGAGGTAAGATCAATGAACCAAAGTTAATAACATGCTTCTACACTGGCAATAGCAATTAGAAACTATTATTGAATAAAATACATTTTATAATAGCAACAAAAACTAATAAGTACTTAAAAGTTTACCTAACAGAAGATGTGTAAGACATTTAGGGGAAAACAAAAACACTGAGATGAGAACAATTGGGTCTGTCACATATTAAGATTAATAATAGAGGTATAATAATTAAAATAGTATCATATAATTGCAAGGATTTTTTAAAAACTAGATCAAGATAATAAAGCATAGATTCCAGAAACAGATCTAGGTATGTATGGGAAGATTTATAAATCACTGGAGAGAAGATTGACCTCTCAATCATACATGTTGGAATAATAGACTTTCTATGTGGGGGGTAAATGAAATTAGGTCTCATAAAATTAGATCTCATAACTACCATATACAAAAGCTAATTTCAGGTGGACTAAGTTCCTATTTGTGACAAAAATTCTATGAGATTAAAAACAAAAATGAGGGACATGAGTGGGTTTTTTTATACGTAAAGCAAAACATAAAGGAAATAATAGCAAATTTTGCTAAATTAAATATTAAGAATTTTGGTATCAAAAGACATTGTCAACAATGTTAAAAAATGTATGATGGATGTGAGAATATGCTTGCAACATATTAACAGGAAAAGGGTAAGTGTATTATCCTTACAGTCATAAAACTACTGTAAATCAATATAATAAAGATAATCAGCTCAATAAGAAAAAAATGGATGAACATAGCTGGAATGGCCAATGAATATATGTAAAGGAGCTCAACCTCACTAGTAACCAGGGATATGAAAATTAAACCAATGATATGATAGTGTTTCTCACCTACCAAATTGTTAGCTTCCAGAAATCTGGCAATGCCAATGATTAGAAAAGACAAGAAGGAGAAGGAACCAAGTGAGATGTAAATTAGTATACTCACTTTTGAGAGAAATTTGGCAATATCTAATAAAATTGAAAATGCATATTATATATCTCACTTCTAGATATGTATACTAGAGAAATGTTTGCATGTTTGCACCAAGAATCCTATACATGTTTCTGGACGCATCAATTGTAATAGTAAAAATTTAAAAATAATATAAATTTCAATCATTAGGGAAATGGATAAGAGAATTGTGAAATAGACATAGCAAGGATAAATGTAGTAATACAGAGTTAAAGTGAATAAATGCATTAGAGCTATGTGTATCATCATGAATAGACCTAGAAAACATAAGGTTGGGTAAAATAGCAAGTTACAGAATAATATAGACTGGCAGTTCTTTAAAGTGCAAAGACCTTTTCAAGGGTTCATAAAGTCAAAACTATTTTCATCATAATACTGAGAAAATACTTGTTTTATTCACTCTCATTCTCTCATGAGTGTACTATGGAGTTTTCTAGAGGCTGTATGATGACTGATTATGTAGTCATTCTGACAGCTAATGGAATGTGTGCTTACGTATTCTTATGTCTTAAAATTCCTGGTTTTTATTTTCAAGTAAATTAATATTAAAATTAATTATATTGATAGATTAATGTTAATAATATTAATAAATTAATTAATATAGTCCATATAAACAATATATCTTTGGGGTTTATAATATTTTTAAGTGTGTAAAGAGTTGCATTTCAGAACTGCTATTACAGATAATTGCTCTTGAAGCCATTAAAATGAAAATGAAAAATATTTGACAGGAAAATAAGGCTATGATATATTAAGTGCAAAGAGTAAGTTACAAAACAGTATGTAGAGAATGATTTAATATTTGCACCGACAACAAAAATACTATATAAATATGCCTACCTAGAGAATAAGGCTAAAATGATGGTTAAATAAAACTTAAATTCAGTTCATCCCCGGACTACAATGAGTTTTTTTCTTTTCTATACTTAATAATTTTCCTGTAATGTCTTATGTTTTAACTGCATAATTTTTTAAAAGTTGTACTCATTTAAGAAAATTGTATAAGTGCTTTAAAAGGCACCTATAATTCTAGGAAACTGAATTTAATCCAGCAAATACTCATTTGGTATTTACTTGTAATACTGCAATATAATTCTGACACTATCAAGAGTTAGTGTTAGACTCCACAGGTTTAAGGGCATAACGTCTGACAAGGCAGCCCTCATTTCAGATGCTTACCGCAAATTTAGAGGACTCCAGGCCACTCACACTTCTGGCCTTACCATCTACAAAACTGGGAGGTTCCTGAACACAGAGCTTTTGTGCTCTTTCCACATGGAGTCAGGCTGTGTCCTTCCCAAACATCAGTGTATTCGCCCAACCTGAAAGTTCCACTGAGCTTGTATCCAGAATTTTTACTGGGGTTTCATTATGTAGGTATGATTGATTGAATCACTGTTCACATGATTGAATTCAATCTCTAGCCCTACTTCTCTCCCCAGAATTTGTGATGGTTCAAAGCTCTAACCCTCTAATTGCAGTTGCTCTTTCTGGTGACCAGTCCCCATCCTGAGTCATCTCCTTAGCATAAACTGAGGTATGATCTAAGGATTTAGTTTCCCTCCCAAGAACCACTAGAACAAAGGCCAGTCAAATTCTTTATTATACAGCTTTACTTCAAATAAGATACCAAATTCTTTATTATACAGCTTTACTTCAAATAAGAGACCAAGATAATCACTGGGAGCGGAGAGAGAGAGATTCCCAGCATGAATGGAAATATAAATATTTTAATAAATGTTAAAAGTTCTTAAAGTTAACAGAGAAAAGACAAGAATACTGTGTCAGTCAGATTATCTAGACCAGGAGAGACTAGATTATTTCTAAAATAAACTGCTTTGAGTCAATAGGAAGCTGGCTCTGTCATTTATCAGCTGTCTTACTTTGGATGAGTTACTTATCCACTTTAATTCTCAGTAAAATATGCATAATGAAGATCATTTCTTAGAATTGAATGAGATGTTGTATGAACCCATTGCCAAGCACATAAAGGGCACTCAACAAAAGGTAGCTATGATTTTTTCAGTCTTTAATTTTAGCCAAATTTAAGCTGGAACAGATGAGATTGGAAGACATGGAAACAGTTAAAATGAATGAAAAAAGTCAATAGTTATAAAATAGAGGTGGTATAAATTAAGCTATATAAAATGTATTCAAAATATTTTTAAAATCTCTTACTCTAACAGAAATATTTGCATCATTTACTGTGTCTAAACAGTAAATATCCCTACTTCTCATCGTTATTTGTATCTGAATTCTTATGCCATTGCTGCTCTGATCAGACTACTGATAACCTGGTGGCATCTGGTATCTGCAGTGCAGATATAGCATTATGAAGGAAATTAACACAGGAATCCACAGATGGGCTTCAGGAAGTTCATAAATCTCCTAAAAATGCTGCTCCTGCCTTTGGCATACCAGGGATTCCCTTAGTTTCCTCCTAGTTCAGTTTGAAATTTAAAAAAGATGATTTATAAATGGCACACAGCATTTTTAGGTACAACTGTATTAGAAAGAGTTTGTCTGAAGCACTTCTTAAATTTGAATGTGAAAAAAATGACTTGAAGATCTTGTTAAAAATTCAGAATCTGATTCAGTAGGTCTGGGATGGGAACTGAGATTCTGCATTTCTTCCTTTTTAAAAATTTTTTATTGAATCATAATTGATTATACATGTTTTGGGGGTTCAATGTTGAGATATGTTGATCAAATCAATATTACTAGCATATATATTGTTATAAATCATACTTATTCTTTATGCCCCTTGTCCAATCTCACCCAATCCCCCTCACCCACCCCCCTCACCCACCCCCCTGAGAGGTGTGATCAGGTTCCCCAGTATTATCGTAGAGTAGATGCTTCTTCTGTCATTCTGGAATGGGCTTTGTGGAGAGAGGCATCCTCTTCTTTATCTCTGCTGGTGACTCTACTTGTGTCGATGCACTCCAGTGGCAGGCAGACCAGCTGCATGGTGTTTGTGATGTCTAGCTGCTTTCACAGCAGCCATGGTTATTGTGGTGGCTGTGGTGGGCACTGGCAGTGTGGCCGGTTGCGGGGGTGGTCTAGTCCCTGGCTCCATGCCTTGGGTCCCCTGGCAGGCCCCAAGGCACTGGCAGTGTGCATTTTTGTGGGAGGGGTGTCCGGTCCACAGATCCATGCCTCAGGTCCCCGAATGGGCCCTGAGGCACTGGCATGGTGTGCTTGGTTGTGGGAGGGGGGTTCCTGTCCCCAGCTCCATGCCACTGGCCCAGATTCTGCATTTCTAACAAGCTCCCAGGTAATGAATGCCCTACAGTTGGGGAACCTCACTTTGAGTAACAAGGATCAGATCTGGAAATAGAAGTGGTTTTTGTGGTTTTTTTTAATGTGTCACTGAGCAGACTAATTTTTGTTTTGTTTTTTTACTGGCCAGTACAGGGATCTAACCCCAGACCTTGGTGTTATCAGCACCACGCTCTAACCAACTGAGCTAACCATCCAGCTCTGAGCAGACTTAATTTTTTTATTTAAAATTATTTCAAGTTGTCTCACCAAATCCTTTAATCGTTTTTCTTCAAATTATAGTTTTCACTTATTTTTAATAGAGTTTGCACTATAAATTCAAAATCGATTTAGTTAGTGTATGAGCAATAATCAGATATTTAAATTCTCCAGTAGTTTCCCAGCAACAGTGGATAGTTTGATTTAAAAAAAAAAAAAAAAAAAAAAAAAGTAAGCAACAGTTGAAGTCTGTGTTCTTTACTGAATATTTCAGTTAAAATTAGAAGAAAATGTGAAACAGTGGCCACATTAACCCAATACTCCTGTCCTCTCACTGCATCCAATATCGTCATTCTTTGAGTCACCATTAAAGTACTCTTCATTCCTTTCTAACATAATCCTTTGTTCATTTACTTCCTCTATACAAAGTCACTTAAATTCAAAAGCACTACAAGACAGAGATGTTATGTGAAACCAGGTGATCATCTCTGACCTTGATAAGGAAATCACCTTTTCTTATGGCTTTCATAAAAATATAATCAGCTCCAGAACTTAAACTCACTGTTTTATCTTAATTTGATTGTCTAATATATGCTCCTCCAGTTATAAATTTATCTGGGATTTTGGGTAGCTCTAATTGAATTCAATGTAGCATCTTTATCATTTGTTTTATGTTTGAACCATGACAAATATTGGGCTTTGTAGTTGAATGAATCATAGGTATAGAATAGGATAAATAATGCCATGTTTCAGGTCTTTTAAGTGGAGAATATTTTTGCATGGACGTTTAAATATTTTTAAATCTATTTTATAAGTAAGTGGTTTACATATCAATCAGTATTATGATACCTTCTGTCATAGGAATTAAATCAGATGCTCTCAGAAACACCACCAGTTTGGAAAGGATCATCAAAGCTATTTCGAAATCTTAAAGAAAGGGGTAAGTTAACTTTAGTACTTATGCATCTTAATATTGACACTATGTTATTTATCCTATTTATACGTGCATATTTTTCCCATACCTAAAATAACTTCAAAATTGTGTGTGTGTGCGTAGAGAAAAAATTGAAAAGAAAAACACCATAGTATTAATATTTCTGGGTTATTAATGTTGTTTCTGGGTAGTGTCATTAAGGGTGGCTCATATGTTATATTTTATGTATGAATATTATTCATGTCTTTCAAATTTTTTACAACAAAATAAAATTTTATAATTAAAAAAATACATTGTTTTAACCATGGTGAAAGCATAGGTTATATTTACCCACAGAAAGCATTTCTCAAAAACTCTCCAAATGTCTTATTTCTCTTTCTTCCATTTTGCTTCCAGGGAATTATATTCTTAAATTTAATCTATATGAAAAACTTATTGGATACATATTTTGGCAACGAAATTTGAACTTGTTTCTTTTAAAGACAACATTCACTATAAAATCCACCTATTTCAACTTACTCTATTGTAATATCCATTTCCTAAATTAATTTATTAATTCATACATTTCCTTGCAATCAAATTATATGGTTTTTATTTCCATTGTCTTTCACAATGTATCTTTTGTACATATATATAGAAAGAAATTAACAAAATGTCTTTAATCTTTAAAAGGATTGTTACTTAGAAATATACTTTTTTACATGCTCAAATATGTGAATATACAAAATAAAAATATTTTTTTAATTATATAAGCAGTTATATTTTTCTTTTTCATTAATTTTAGCCAATATTGGTTGAACATATTATACTTACTCTAGCATGAAGACAGATACTTTAAAGGAGTAGGTATAATTCATATATTTTATCTAAGTAGAATTAAAAATTCAAATTGCTTCCACCTGGTTCACATAAACTCTGAAAGGAAGAGACACCTTATCTTTTATTGCAGGCTTTTCATGACTAGGATTTTAAAATCTTTTGGAAACCTGGACCAAGTTGTCTTAAAAAGCTCTTAGAGGGCCGGCCCGGTGGCACACTGGAGAGTGCACTGCTTGGGAGTGCGGCGGTGCTCCCGCCGAGGGTTCGGATCCCATGTGGAGACCAGTTCCCACTCACTGGCTGAGCGCGGTGCGGGCGCAACGCCGAGGGTTGCGATTCCGTTGCTGGTCCCCAGTACGGGCGCGACACCGAGGGTTGCAATCCCGTTACCGGTCAGTAAAAAAGACAAAAAGGAAAAAAAAAAAAAAAAAGCTCTTAGAAATTTTTTCCTGGAAGTTGTCTTAAAGATTGTCATTCAGATCTTAGGGTGGGATGATAGGATCAGGAAAATTCAAAGCTCAGAGGGATCAGGTAAGTATGGTGAATTTCAAAAATTTTTGTTAATATATCTCATGGGAAAATACAAATTGGTTCAAATATAATCAATGTATGGAAGAAGAAATTCTTTTTAGTTAAAGGGAGCGTTCAGTCTAGAAGCTCTCAGTTGAGGCATGACTTTATCCTTCTCATGTTATGTACATTTTTGCAATTTTTCAGGGGAGAGGATCTATTTAGCTCCGTTCAATAGAATTATTGGCAGTGATGGAAATGTTTTATTTCTGTGCTGTCTCATCTGGTAGCCACTAGCCTTGTGGCTATTGAGCACTTAAAATGTGGCTAGTGTCACTGAGGAACTGAATAGTTAGTTTTATTTAATTTTAGTTATTTTAAACTTAAATAGTGACATGTGGTCAATGGCTACCCTGTAGGACAGTGCATATCTCTATTATACAGATCAGATCGTAAAGGCAGTCAGTGATCCCAGAAGGTTTTAGCTCTATTAGGTTAGATGGAGTAGAGAAGTACACAGAGCTTTGCTTTTTTAAGAGATTAAATGGCAGAGAAATTTTAAAGCTAAATCTTAAGAGCTATTGGAGATTCATTATAAAATAAATAAGTTTATCTGCTTAAAATATTACCCAGCAAGAAAATGTTATGCAGTTTAAAAAAAAAAAATGATATGTAACATTTGTGAAAATGTGTGTTGCATAGACTAAGTTATGACAGCCAGCTGTATTATATCATGATATAGGAATTTAACAACGTACTGCTTGGGCCGGCCCGGTGGCGCGCTGGATAGTGTGCCGCTTGGGAGGCGCGGCGGCGCTCCCGCCCGAGGGTTCGGATCCCACATGCGGACCGGTTCCCGCTCACTGGCTGAGCGAGGCGCGGGAGCGGCACCGAGGGTTGCAATCCCGTTGCCAGTCCCTGGTCTAGTACGGGGGCAACACTGAGGGTTGCGATCCCGTTTCCGGTCCCCGGTCCAGTGCGGGGGCAACACTGAGGGTTGCGATCCGTTTCCGGACACGGAAAAAGACAAAAAGACAAAAAGACAAAAGAAAAAAAAACAAAAAAAACAACGTACTGCTTTTAAGGAACTTCCCTTGAAATTTTTTTTCGATTGGCTTTTAATTGAAGGATTGGTCATACGGTTTTTAATTTTTGTAATTGGAAAGCATTAAGAATCTACAGTTCATCTTCAGCAGTATTTTCTCTTTTTCTTGGCCATTTTTATTAAATTATATCATGAGTTTCATTTTGTTCTCTTCCCTTGTGGATTAAGCCACCTCAATAAAAACGGAGTTCTACAGATAAGTGCCTACCATAATAATCATGATCAGGACTCTCACTGTTACGTAATCTTTCACTTAAGGGAAATCTTGAGTTAACTATAAAGTGAAAGAAGAATAGCAGGTATTAAAATTCTTTATACCAACCAACATCTCTTGAGTATTCTACTAGGTCAGTTAGACCAGCAGTGAGTGAGATGGGATTGCAAAGACAGCAAGAGTTTTTCCCAATCTCATTTCCCTTTTTCCTCTGATATTTATGCTTTTTTTTTTTCTTTTTTGAGGGATCCCAATGGAGTCTAAGTATTGTATCTTAATATACATTGACCATTCCAGAATCTTTCTCCCATAACATTCATGGCAATCAACCAGAACTATCTGTCTATAGGTCATAATATTCTAGTATAAACAAAAGAAGGGAATGCTTTCAGGGCCTCCGGGGTAGTTCCCTTCATGTCTCTGACAAACTGCCTGACAGTGACTCCTCTTCTCTTTGTTCTGTAACAAAGAGGATAGCCTCAAAGAGCATCAGATAGAATGGAGTTTTAAAAGTTCATGATCTGATTATTTAAGGATTTTGTTATACCCTTTTGCCACACATCAGAACTATCTGATAGCTAGATAAGTGTTGTAGGCTTTTTCTTAATTTTAATTTTCTCAGTATCTATTTGGAAGGCCAGTTAAACCATTAATTCTAGTTTGGGATATTATAGTCCAAAAGCAAAAATTCAGGTAACAGAATGTATATGTTTATTTACTCCAAACAAACTCCTTTTAAAGTTTGTAATTATGGTGTTTCAGAGAACTCAGGATGCAATGTACAAAAAGTGTAATTATTTAATTAAAATAAAAACTTTCTAGAGTACATTTAATAGAAGCATTGTTTGTCAAGAGTAACAAATGATAATTTGAAAGCAGAAAAATGATACTATAGAGTTTTGTTTTTTAAAACAAAAATCAAAAGTACAAAAATCAAGTTTCTAAGCAAGAATGTCCAAATGTTTTCAAATTCACATTACTAAAAAGGAATTAAGCACTTTGCAGTGTTAACTATTTATGACCTTTTTCTTTATGTTAGATCCATACATTAAAATAGCAACAAATTTAAAAGTTACCACTATAAGTAAGCATAATTTTTTTGCCAATATATTTGAGAGCATTAATGAGAATTTTGCATGGATTTCTTGAGAGGCATGTGGAACAATTAAAGTAAAATTTATTTTGCTGCTTTTTTGGCCATGATTTTATAATAATAACTTAGTCTCACTTAAAACAATATTTAATATTTGTTTCAAAACTGTAAGCTCCTTATTCATAGTGTTTATGTCTATTAAAATAGTATTTTACTTTTATAAATATGAAAATAATTTCATATTTTGTATTTGCATAACTGATACTATTTTTCTTCTAGGTGTGATTTCTTACACAGAATATCTTTTTCTTTTATGTATTTTAACAAGTAAGTATACTCATTAAATCTATTTCTGAATGCAGTTTTTTTTTAATCAGAATTTTAGAAAACAGATTTTTCTTAGATTCTCTTACTATTGAAAATCACTTTAGATATATCCGTGCTGTTCTACAAAATTCATGTCTAAGTGCCACAGGAAATGCTAAGCACAACACTATCAGTAGTCAGAACTTAAATATTATGGCTTATGGTAAAGTAATAAAATGCTCGTAAATTATAAATTTAATATCATATACCAATCTTTGTGGTTTTAGTCTACATGAGACCCAAAGGTCAGGACATGTAATAATTTGTAAGTTTTTTGCTACAGTCATTTGAATCACGTTTTCTGTAAGACTAATGTGAGAGAATGAGTCTGTTAACTAGTGAGTCTACCAGAATACATACCCTAAAACAGCTTTGTCATTCTCTTTCTCTTACATGCAGCAGTTCTTATGGAATATATGAAGGGTTTACTAAGATTTTTAGTTAAATTTCTTTGCATTTATTGGACAAGATCATATACTATAGTTTAGTGTGCTCCAGCCACCTAAGCCTTCTTTTCCTCAAATTCCCACCTCAGGGATTTGTACTTTCTGTTCCCTCTGCCATCTGTGCTTTTCCTCAATATCATTCAGTTTTCCCTTCTAATGTGAAGACTAACAGAATCCTTACTTGACCGTCCTTTCTTTTTTTTTTTTTTTTTTTTTTTTTTTTTTTTTTTT